TTTCTTTTTTACATATTTTGTTAAAAGGCCAAATAAGGAATTCAAACCAAAAAATAATAATTTTCTTTTTTGTTTTATTCTTGGATCAGGCTTTAAAGGGTTAAGCATCTGCATGTTTGTGTTCGTTTTTGTGCGTTCAGGTCGCACAAAGCGACACACAAAGTGTTTTAAACACACATGTGGAGCTATGATGTGTCCGGCTAGCCTCGAGCATCGTGAACCTCTGGGGTTTTCAAACACTTAACTCATTGGCTGCCAAAGACGTCTATAGACGTCTTTTATGTTTTTCAGCGAGAGTGTCTGGGGGACGATCTGCTAAAGCTTGTCCGTAAATATCGGCTTCCAGACAGAGTATGTAGTAACAAATTGACCCTCTAGGGGGCAGTGGCACTTTTGATGGGAGATGAGCATAGACTGTAGGCAAATAAGAAAAAGGGAACGGTTCTATGAGAGAACATGTCGCCGGTGAGACGCAAGTCCAGGAAGAACGGAATAAGGTAGAAACACATTTTTTTTCCTGATGAAAGAAGAGAGTCTACTCTTTCTTTTGGTGTGTTCGGTGTTTACATAGTCATAGCACAAACTATTCTGTGGCTCTTGAGTTAAACTCGGTTTCCCTGCATCAGTCGGCTGTAAATGTTCAAAGGGAAAATGAAAGCGGCCCCGGTCTGAGACGGTTTTCCCGGGCGCCTTTCACGGATGAGCCGAGCTGGGAATCCTTTTTGGACACGGATGACACGCCGAGGGAGGCAAATTCAGACGGGTGGCAGAAAGAAAAATAAAGAAACTCGCATCAGAAGAGATGGGACAGCCTGAGAGGAAATAACGAACCCAACCAGACTCCAAAATAGGTTTTTTAGGCTTGAAATTGACCAATTACCAACCGCAAACTCAGGTAAATATAGCATCACTACTTTGCGGTTTTTCACAAATTACCGCAATAGGGTTTTTTATAATAATTTTTTCATATATTTTATTCAAGAAAGGTAGTACAATAAATTTAAATGCATTTAAATACAATGTCTTGAATTAATTTTCTTAATTTTTTTTTATTTAGTTTTCCAATCAAAACCCATCTACCCACCCATATATAAAACAAAATCTTGGTGGTACAATGTCTTGAATTTATTTTCTTAATTTTTCAAATTTTGTTTTCCAATAAAAACCCACCCATCCACCCACCCATATATAAAACAAAATAAAAACAACAACAATAAAACAAACAAACAGACAGAAGGGGGTGATTATTCTGCACTCAGATACATGTCAATACTTCAGCAAGGGCTGTATTGACTTTTGGGAGGGTATTGAGGCTTTCAAAGTACTAAATCCCTGTACATTTCCGTCACCTGGAGGCCCTGATCAGAGGCTGAGATAGCAGAAAGCCGCCCTCTTATCTGAGAGCACCGGCATGTTCAACAAACGTCCACACAAAGAGCCGGCTGTGCCTCGGGAACGCTGCATTCCCCTTAAATTCCTGGCTGCAGATACAAATCTGCAGGCCTTTAGCGGTTAGCTAGCGCCGCCGCTAGGCTCTCGTGTTGATTCACTGAAGTCTCTGTTGTAACTGCCATCGAAGTCAGAATAAATAAATAAATAATATGTTGAGAAATATTGGGTAAAAAATATCAATTAAATAAATATGTTCATTTGACATGATAACAGTTTAATATTAAAAGCAAATATTTCCTGTATATTTTTTGCGTTGACATGGAAACACGTAACCAACGCTCGCTTCCGCGGGTTGACAGGTGTTACCTCTGAGAGATGCTAACGGTTGTTCATTAGGATGCTGGACCAAGCTAGCAGGCAGACACCTCGCCAATTCCTCCGCTAAAGAGTTAGCGACGTTAAAAGAAGTTTGAACAAGTGCATAGTACATTGAAGGACCGAGGAGTCTTAATTTTCTCTCAAGGGAAAGCGGCCAATGAGGTACATGTGTTTTGTTATTGTTATTCTTGTAAGTTCGTAAATATTTAATGTAACGGATTTGATGTCTCATATAACCGTTGGTCGCGTTTTTCATTGAAGTTTCGTTCAACGGAAACAATGCATTTATTCGCCTTTCTGTTTGTATGTTTAACAGTTCTCACGGCATCACGGCACAATATTAAGCCAGTTGTGTGATTAAAAGCCTGTAACTCTAAGAACAACTTGGTTTCGTGATTTCGACTTGAGAGGGAATTACATCTGTAGTATCTGGTGTCGTAATCGGCCGACGAAACGCAGCCCTGTCTGATCTGTTTTTGTCTGAAGGGCTTCCAGGTCCCATTTGCTGAAGAGGGAAACTGATATTAGGCCACAGGGAGTATCTATCGGAGGCCACATTAAAGCTCAAATGGCTCTATGGTCTTCTTAGAAACTGATGCAAAATGAGAAGCAGGGATCAATAGTCCCCCGGTCGGTGAAATGTTTCCCAATCAGGAGCTCAAAGACTCAAATGTCAATTTCTCAGAGACTCCATTAAAC